CAGCTGTAATGAACACACTCTCAAAATCACCTGGACTTGTGTTGTGAAATCTTTCCTGCACAAATTCAAGAACTCACACACTACCAGCCGGCAGGGGCAGACCAGCTTCAGGCATGTCCCCAGTTGATGACAGTTTAAAGACAACGAAAGGCATAGGTCAGATAACTTCAGATTCCTCTGACAGTGGTTCTCAACCTTCCTAATGCTGCGACCCTTTTATACACTTCCTCATGTTATGGTGACCCCCAACCATAAAATTATTTTCGTTGCTACTTCATAACTGTAATTTTGCCACTGTTATGAATCGTCATGTAAATATCTGCTATGCAGGATGTATTTTCACTGTTACAAATTGACCATAATTAAAGCATAGTGATTAATCACAAAAACAATATGTAATTATATATGTGTGTTCTGATGGTCTTAGGCGACCCCTGTGAAAGGGTCGCGACCCACAGGTTGAGAGCCGCTGCTCTAAGACAATACCCAGTCATATTTTTCCTATTGTAAAGTCTTTTATAATTCCCCCCCTAGAACAGAAAAGCCCCTTTTCATAAATATATCACCTCTGCCTTTCATTGCATTCAAATTCCAACTAAAGTGCAAACATATTACCCAGAAATACCAATGACATTATCAGTTCCCATTTTAAACGTGGTTTAAATAATCAGGTCAATGTTAACAGCTATTCTGTGAAATTTTGGCTCGGAAGGCCTTAGAGAAAATCACAGAAAGAAAATTTGCGTAGCATCTATTGTGCGTCAGCAGCTTACTTTTTGGTTTAGTATCTGTATTTTAATATTTGTATTTGAAAAGTACTCAGCCAAAAAGGAGCAATTTTAACCTAAAAGAATGAATCCTTAATGAAATTTAATGTGCCACCTAAAGACCTGAGAGAGGTTTGGAGCAGAGGGCTGTCAGTGGGGCACAGGTTGGGGGAAGAGGTGGGAGGCTGGAGCAAGGGGAAAAGGAGAAGACAAGCTTAAGAGTTTCACTGGTGGGTTTCTCTGGAAGCCAACCAGCTAGAATGATTCTCTCCAAACTCTTACTTTCTCTTCCTCATTCCCTCTTCCTCCTTTCTCCTTGTCCTTTTTCTTTTTAGATCGTCTAGACCTCTCCTTCCCATTTCTTTTCCTTTTTGTTTCAGGTTTCTAAGGTGTGCTTTTCCTCAAATAATCCCCCATCTAAGCTTTTTTCTACTTCTCTGAAAAGCCTTGTTAAGGTAACACTGGTTAGTGTTGACAGAAGTCAGGAAATCGTTTACCCTTGGGGGCTAATCGTTTACCCTTGGAAGGGAGTACAAAGGATTCTGAAGTGCTAGGAATGTTGTTTCTTTTTTTTAAATATATTTTATTGAAGAGGGAGAGGGAGAGAGAATTAGAAACATTGATGAGAGAGAAACATCGATCAGCCGCCTCCTGCACATCTCCTACTGGGGATGTGCCCGCAACCCAGGTGCATGCCCTTGACCGGAATCGAACCTGGGACCCTTCAGTCCGCAGGCGGACACTCTATCCACTGAGCCAAACCGGTTAGGGCAGGAATGTTGTTTCTTAATCCTGCTGTTGGTTACATGGGTATGTTCAGTTTGTGAAAACTGAGCTATGCACTTCTCTGCATGTACATTTCAATGAAAGGCTTAAACTAAAACAAACAAAAGCAAAACAAACGAAAACCCCTCCCTGTTTAAGTTTCATCTGCTTCAGGGAAGTGAGTGGATAATAAAAGGGGGCATAAAGGAGCACAGCAAATGATCTTCATATTTTTGCCCAGAATCATCGACCACTGCCAATTTTCCAAAGTCTCATGATCCAGTTTTGGCTGATTGACAAGGGGTAGTGGCAAGAGGCAGTGGGAATGGAAGTTTGCAGAATGAAACATATTATAAACTTAGATGGACAGAATTTGGTAACCAGTTGAATGTATGGCCCAGTTGGATAGAGGAAAGGGATAAAAGAAGGCAGGCTAAGTTTAAGCCAGGTCATGTGGGGAAAGAAAATGTAAACTATTGGTCAAATCAGGTTTGGGCAATTATGGTGGCAATATATTATGAATGTGTTTAAGAGATTAGGTTAAATATCTAAAAAATGAACAAATTCTTTTGATAAATACTTTTGATAGCAGCTAAGATTGTTTTAACCCCAAGCTCTGCTTAAGAGAAATGTATAAAAACTATGATTGCTAAGGGACTGATTTAAATTACACTTTCATCCTTGGCATAGCTAAATCGTTGAGCATTAGGAAGGGTGGAACTTATAATAAAAGTAAAGCCAGAAAAAAAAAAGTGGCATTTCACTAAAACTAGCAGTGTCTGGGGTATAGGATGTGCTCAGTAGTTGTTCTATTTGAGACTGGGTGGGAGAAGGTGATACTTTAGATTGATTAGGAAAGACCTGAGATACGTGAGCAGAGATCTGAAAGAGGTGGGGAGTAGCCAAGCAGATAGCTGGAGGAAAACTGGTCCAAGCAGAGGGATGAACAAATGCAAAGCTTCTGAAGCAGGGACATGTTTCTAGTGTATTTGAGAAACAGCAATGCCCTAATGGGAATTGAACTGTGACCTCCTGGTTCATAAGTCAGTGCTCAACCACTGACCATGCTGGTCAGGCACAGCATTATTTCTAACTGCCCCAAACTAGAACCCAAATGTTCAAAGGATAAATGATCACAAAAAATACTTACATAATGTTCAAAAGCAAAACCAATCTATTGTATTAAAAGTCAGAATGATGGCCCTAACCGGTTTGGCTCAGTGGATAGAGCGTCGGCCTGCGGACTCAAGGGTCCTAGGTTCGATTCCGGTCAAGGGCATGTACCTTGGTTGCGGGCCCATTCCCAGTGGGGAGTGTGCAGGAGGCAGCTGATCGATGTTTCTCTCTAATCGATGTTTCTAACTCTCCATCCCTCTCCCTTCCTCTGTGTAAAAAATCAATAAAATATGTATTTTTTAAAAAGTCAGAATTTTGGCCCTAACCGGGTGGCTCAGTTGGTTGGAGCATTGTCCCATCAGAATTGGCCCTAACCGGGTGGCTCAGTTGGTTGTAGCATTGTCCCATGCTCCAACACCAAAAAGGTTGAGGGTTCAATCCTAGGCCTCCTCGGGGGACTTCCATGCTGGAGGGCAACCAATTGATATTTCTCTCTCACATGGATGCTTCTCTCTCTCCGTCCCTCCCTCCCTTCCACTCTTTGTAAAAATCAACGGAAAAAAAAAAATCCTAAGGTGAGGATTATAAAAACAAACAAAAAAGAATTATGGGAACAATGCTTTGTCTGAAGTAAAACAACAGGGAAGTATAAACAATCCTAGTAACTACATTTCTTATTGTTCCTTGTCCTGTAATCATTATTAAGAAGGAAGAGTAAGCTAATTATAAGCACAGTTATCCTTTCACATGTTAACTCCGTTGTAGTTACCTGTTACCTACATTTGGAACTTAAGACTTCCAGCTCTTAAATTCAGGTGTCATGAGCAAGTAGATATTAATAGGAAAGAACATACACATTCTCTTCATGGTAAAAATGATATATAGTTGGATAACTTATTTTTATTAGGATGGAGACATTATTTGGACTTTACAACATTGGTTAGTGTTCAGGTTAGCCTTGATGTGCCCTGCCCCGCCAGTCTATATACGTTACAATTATAATATTTGTGTTTCTAATTTTCTACACAGAATGAAACAGAGGTTGGTATCCTAGTGTAAAGGCCTTGTGTGGAAAGTTTTTATTTCTAGCTAAATTAACTGAAGTTGTAAAACTGCACAGAGAGACTAGAGAGCCAATATCTTTATTATACAGAAATGTGAAGGCCATATGCTTTAAATGAGAAGGTGATATGCCGTGGACATTCTGCAGATTAGGGACATCCTCATTTTATTGCGATACAATATAAAAATAAATACGACTAAGAGTTGTGAGAAAGAACTCAACTCAACTTCCATGCCCTCCAATTAAGCTGAAACTTTCCACTGGAAAACCTGGTTTCAATTCATGCCAAATTGTTCAAATGGAAAGAAAAACTAAGGCAGGTAGAGATAACACATGGACTGGTTTTTGAATTTTTAGAGAGCCAGACTAAAGCTCTACTTCACCTCACATTGAGAGTTTGTTTCATGTTACAATTTATTTCTCTAGTTACCTAAGTGATAACTGCAGTGAAAAAAAGAAAGTTGAGCTCGGCAATTTTGGGGGTGTTAAACAGGTTTAGAAAGGAAATGGAAATTATTTCTGATCAGGAAGATTTAATATCAGCTCTGAGCCACCTGTATTAGCCCTTTGGCAGCCTATTTCTCTGTAATGGTCAAGAGGCAGGACCCATTACAAGTACTAGCATAATAAATGCTTGACATAAGCACAATTTGGTCCTCTATTTCCAAATACTGAACTTTATATCAGCATGCTTTTGGAAAAAAAAAAAAAGTGGGGGGGCATGCTTTTGACATCAAACTGACCCTCCACATAGGATTTTTCTTAATAAGCTTCTCTTTGCACTCACTACTATATTGAAAAAACATTTTAGAGATTTGGATAGAAAGATGGTTGTGGATTAAATATAAACAAAATTATTTCCAGAATGTTTAAATATAGATAGAATTTATTAATTTATGCAGAAAGCAAAAAACAGGGAACAAAGAAAACCTGGAGTTTAGATATATTATCTAGATTCAGGATGCTGCTATTCAGCAATTGAAATTTACAACTTTCTCAGTTCAATCACAGCAGAAAGGTTTAAAATTGTCTGGAGGAATCAGGATAGTCATGTGCGAAAGGTGGAAATTCTGATACCACTTCCTTCCCTTAGAAATTGTAATGCTGATTGCATGAAGGAAGTGGTTGAGAGAGAGATATATTTTTTTTCACTTAGATTTCTGTCCAATGATGGAGTAGGGTAATGCTAAGAAAGAGGTTAGAATGTATTTCTGATTATAAGGCTATGAGAATCAGGTAATCAAATTTGGAATATTCCCATTAGGTTAGAACAAGAAAGTGAGAAAATCACTAACAGGAAATAAAATCCCAGAGACTACCTACTCGAAAAACTAGTTTGTTTCCATTGACCCTTATTCAGAGAGGCAGTCATTTCAATAAGCTACATTACCTAGCAGAGCCTGAGAGACAAAGACTGAAAACATGTATTTTAGATAGAAAACAGACTTTAAAAAATGTAATAAATGGTTTGCTCTACATCTCATTCACAATCTGTGGCTGGAGAACAGCAAACACCACTTAGATAATCTTGCTTATCCAAAAGCACACTAGGTTGAAGTAAACTAAGAAATGAGAGAAAATGTTTATTGGGGATGTGTGGGCTCACCCCCAGTTTAGTCACCTCTGGAGTGGAGGTATAAGGAGAAATAAAGTCTGCTTATAAAGGTCAAGGTCTATGGAGAAGCCCTGAAGTTGCTTTCCCCAAATCACAAGTCTGATTCAAGAGAAGGAAAGAAAATGATGAAAAACATCTCATCACACAAAACTCAGTGACAGTGTCTCTGATAGTCACCAGCCCAGCAGGGGAAAAAGGAGAAACCCACCTGCTGGCTCTAGGATTTATTGAAGGCTGCCAACACAGCCCAGATCATCTCTGTGGCACTGTGCTTGGTCCCTTCCACTTCAGGGTCCAGTTCTACTAGGTCCTTGGCTCGATTCATTGCCACATCATACTTGTCATCTGTCAGAGAGGAGAAGACATTTTCTAGTACGTCGGAGGAGTGGGCTAGCACCAGGAGTGCTAGTGTTCGCTTGTCCATACGCTGAGGGTCATTTACCCACCGCTCTAGGACACTATCTTGGATTTTTTTCACTAGTCGCTGTTTCTCTGTTGTGTTGGTCACTGGATGAGTAGTCATATCAAATAGGAGGAAATTCTGCTTCTCCGTGGTTAGAATGCCCTTCTCTACTAGGTTCTTTGCAATTCGCTCTCTTACATTTCTCAGCTGGTATTGTAATTTGAAGGGGTTCCAAGTCTCGCCTATGGGAAAAGAAATGAAAACTTAGAACAACTCTATAAACTAACCAGACCGAACAAGACATCTTTTAGAACATTCCACCCTTTAACAGCAGAATATACATTCTTCTCAAGTACACATGGAGCATTCTCCAGGAGAAACTATAGGCTAGGCCTTAATAAATTTAAAACAGCCTTAATAAATTTAAAAGGACTAAAAATATACAAAGTATGCTATCCAACCACAATGGAATTAAATAAAAAATTATTAACAGAAGGAAATTTGGAAAATTCAAAAATATATGGAAATTAAACAACATGCTTTGAAATAACCAATGGATCAAAGAAGAAATCACAAGGGAAATTTAAAAAATACTCTGAGTTGAATGAAAATGAAAACATATCAAAACTTATGGGCTGCACCTTAAAGCAGTGTCAAGAGGAAAATTTACAATTCCAAGCACTATTCTAGGGATGATGTCAAATCAATAATCTAATCGACCTTAAGAAACTATAAAAAAAAAAGCACTAAACCCAAAGCAAGCAGAAGAAAGGAAATGGTAAAGATTATAGTGGAAATAAACATAGAAAATAAAAACAATAGAGAAAATAAATCAAGAATTGGTTTCTTGAAAAGATAAATAAAACTGACAAGCCTAGACTGACCCAGGGAAAAAGAAGACTCAAATTACTACAATTAGGAATGAAAGAGGAGATACCACTATTGACCTTAAAGAAATAAAGAGGGTAATGAGGGGATACCATAAATAGAGGAAATTCTGACTAGATCAACAACAAGTAAATAGAGTGAATAAGTAACTTTAAAATTTCCCACAAAGAAAAGTGTGGCCAAGACAGCTTTACAGGGAATTCTACCAAATATTTAAATACAATGCCAATTCTTCACAAATCTTTCAAAGAATCAGAAGAGGAGGGAATACTTCCTTAATCTATATGATATTACTCTGATACCAAAACCAGACAAAGACATCACTAGAAAATTACACACCAATATCCCAGGTATAAAGTACTCAACAAAATACTAGCAAAGCAAACTCAGCAACATATAACAAAGACTGCATAACATGATCAGTGAACCATCTGTACCTAATTGAGCCCCTTTAATTTCTGCACTTCTTTTCCTGACCTTAAGAGTAGGATAAAGATAACTAAGTGTAGGACTTCTGAATCATTTTGAGCCATCTTACCGGTGAGTAGCTCTATCCACGTCTGGACAGTTTCTGTGGGTTCAGTGGCTTTGATGTGTTTGAGCGTTTCATCCAGTAAAACGTCACCTGTTGGGCTGTCTGACTTCAGCAGTACCTTTTAGAAAGAAGAAACAAGGGACCCTGGTTCATTCAATTCATTCAAATTAAAATCTTTCAATATACCATATGAACACTATTGGTTAAGTATTATAGAAAATGCAAAGCAGTATAATATACTGTCTCTGTTCTCAAGAAGTTGAAAAATTGCTCTAGCCGGTTTGGCTCAGTGGATAAAGCATCTATCTGCAGACGAAAGGGTCCCAGGTTTGATTTCGGTACCTTGGTTGCAGGCTCCTCTTGGGCCCAGGCCTAGGCCGGGCCCTGGTCAGGGCTCGTGCAGGAAGCAACCAATCGATGTGTCTCTCTCACATCGATATTTCTGCCTTTCCCTCTCTAAAAATCAATGGAAAAATATCCTCGGGTGAGGATTAAAAAAAAAAAAAGTTGAATAATCTAGTATGGGGAGATAGTGAGGAGACAAAAATACATTTGATGAGGGCCCTAGTGACAAATTGGATATAAATGATAATGGAGAAAAGATTCAATAATGATTCTTTGAGTCTGGAAAACCTACTTGCAAAAACAATCAATAAAGGTAGGAAAATCAGGAAAAGAAGCCAGTTTTGGGGAAAAGTTAAGTTTGGTTTTAACTGATATGGGAGAGCCAGTTGAAATGCCTAGCCAATAGATAAATATGTTTCTGGGGCTGACAAAAGGCCTGCCAGAACCGGTTTGGCTCAGTGGATAGAGCGTCGGCCTATGGACTCAAGGGTCCTGGGTTCGATTCCGGTCAAGGGCATGTACCTTGGTTGCGGGCGCATCCCCAGTGGGGGGCGTGCAGGAGGCAGTTGATCAATGTTTCTCTCTCATTGATGTTTCTGGCTCTCTATCCCTCTCCCTTCCTCTCTGTAAAAAATCAATAAAATGTATTAATAATAATAAAAAAAGGATAGGCCTGTCTGGCCAGTATTGCTCGGTGGTGAGTGTCAGCCATGAACCAGGAGGTAGCCGTTCAATTCCCAGTCAGGGTACATACCAGGGCGTGGGCTCAATCCCTAGTAGGGGGCCTGCAGGAGGCAGCTGATCAATGCACCCTAGCTGGTTTTGCTCAGTGGATAGAGCTTTGGCCCTTGGACTGAAGGGTCCCAGGTTCGATTCTGGTCAAGGGCATGTACCTTGGTTGCAGTTCCCCTGCCCTGATTGGGGTGTGTACAGGAGGCAACCAATTGATGTCTCTCTCTCACATCGACGTTTCTCTCTATCTCTCCCTCTCCCTTCCACTCTCTCAATGGAAAAATGTCTTCGGGTGAGGATTAACAATAGAAAAAGAGACATCAATGATGAGAGAGAATCATTGATCAGCTGCCTCCTGCACACCCCACACTGGGGATTGAGCCCACAATCAGGCATGTGCCCTTGACTGGAATTGAACCCGGGACCCTTCAGTCCGCAGGCCAAAGTTCTATCCACTGAGCCAAACTGGCTAGGGCTAAAAACATATTAAAAATTTTTTTTTAAAAAATAAGGTAAGCCTAGAATTTAGTAGTTAGTACATGAAGGTACTACATGAAGCTGTAAAGGTAAACGATATCTTTAAAAGGATATAAGTTACACAAAGGGATACAAACTTGAGACTTAGATGTTAAGGAATGGAGAAGTAAAGGAAATAGGGTACAGCTAGAAAAGTAAGTGAATCTATATATATAAAAGCCTAATATGCAAAGTGTCCCTTCAGGAGTTTGACCAACTGGGAGTTCGATCGCTTGCTATGATGTGCGCTGACCATCAGAGGGAGGTGCGGAATGAAGGAAGGCCCTGGCCGGCAGCTTCAGAGGGAGGCGCAGAATGAAGGAAGGCCCTGGCCGGCAGCTGGCAGCCAAGGAAGGGAGGCCCTGGCCAGAGGCTGCAGCCGCTAGGGACCCTACCTGTGCAGAATTTCGTGCACTGGGCCTCTAGTGTAATATAATAGAGGCCAAGAATTAAGAAAGTTTCAATTAGGAGAAGGTGGTCAAAGTGTCAAATGCCACATAGAGGTTAAAAGAGACAAAGACTGAAAAGAAACAGTGATACATAAGAATGTGGTTTCAGCGCTAAATGCTAAGTATAACAGTGAAAGTGTGAGTAGAAAAAAAAAAGAAGAAAATGGAGGCAGGAGTACGGCTAACATGCTGCATAGGACTTGTAGAAAATGAAAGGCGAGAAATTGAATGATTATCTAAGGATGACCAGAGTTTAGCAAAGACTGCACCTGACCCACATGTTTACATACTCCTATATAATACTCTCTTCCATGTTAGAGCTATAGCTATGGAGGGAGGAATAATCAACAGCACCTTAAGTGTGATTTTCTGCATAGAAAAGAAAGACAAAAGTATGAACTTCTTATTACTCTTTAGACTATTGGACCCTTGGATTTCTCCCTCCGATATAGAATAATTAAACCTATTAGACAATGGGACAACTGAGTCAGTGATATTTACCTTGTCTCACTACTCAAATCTTTCTACTCCTCCAAAATGGACCACTGGCACCTGCCCTTTCATAAACTCAGAGAATGTCACAGAGGATGCTGTACCTTTCTGTCTAGTAGTCGCTTCTTACGCATGGTTGGGGGTTCCAGATAGATACGACCCCGCATGGCCAGCTCTATCAGGATGCCCCCTCGCAGGCCAGATGATATGCAGTCATTCCAGAAAGATGTGTAACCCTAGGAAAAGAGAAGAGAAAGAATGTTCTGAAAGAGATAGGGACTTGCAGCAAGCATCCTGAGAATGGTATACTCTGTTGTGATTTGTTTCAGGTCATATTACATGAACTCAAAGCAAAGTATACAATAAAGGAATCTCTATTTAATTCCCTTAACCTACCCCCTCCCCAGTTATGATTTTCTGTCTGACTTTTTAAGTTCTTTGTGTATTTGGCTATTAGTTAATAATTGGCAAATCAAACTTTAATTTTTGAGAAGAATTTTTAAAATCTGTTTCCATGACACTCCAAATTCAGTGTAGAATACAAATGAATTAAATAGAAAAATTTACAAACCATTTGAGTTTTTTATTCCTCCAAGATATGTATTAATAATACAAGCTATTTTGATGGGTGATATAGTTGAAATCCAGCTCTAACACTGACTAGTTAAGTTCCTTCGGTATGTGACTTCACCTTTCTCAAGTGATTATTTGTATGTCCTCATCTGTAAAATGGGGACACTAATATCTATAAGTTTGCTGTGAGGAATAAATGAAATGTCATATACAAGAAAGAATTTATTACAGGGCCTGGCATATTGTAGGCACTTAAATGTTAGTTTCCCTTCCCTAGGTGGTATAGAGGATACAAAGACATGTACGAAATAGCCACTGTCTTAAGGAACTGAAAATCTAGCTGGAAAGACCATGCAAATTTCAGCAAAGTTCTGTGTTAATACAAAATTTAAATAAAAGCTCGTTGTAAAAGCAGAAGAGAGAGGCATAAATGACTGTTGTAAGTTTGGTTTAGATGATAGTTATTCAAATTATATAAGTCACTTTTAGGCTAGAGTAGTCAGGAACTTTCATGGGACCTGAGCAGTGGTTTGAAGAAAAGGTTGAATTTGGCAGAGAGGGAGGGTTTTCCTCCAAATTCCACCTATTCTTCAAGAGGGCATTTTAACTAAAGTGTCAAGGAAGGAGGTCTCAAATATGTTTAGAAGTCAAACTCAAGGATTTAAAGAGAAATAATGAGATCAAGTTGGTTGGGGCCAGACGGTTGAAAAGCCTTGATGCTTTGAACTTTTTTATTGAAAGGCAGTATTGAATCCTGAAGGTTCTGAGCAAGGAATTATGATGAATGCAAGGAACACCCATCAGAGCTGTTCAACACTCTTTAGCTATCTTTGGTTATGGCAATACCTCTCACTGGAGAGAAGCTGGGTGAGATGTTGGCAGGGACAGTTTATTATGGCTTTAAAGCAACCCCAAAACTAATTACTAGGAATAGCAGTAAATAATTTTTTTATTAAACTTAAAAAAAATTTTCTTCAGTATTGCTTTGGAAATTAAATACTCCACTTTTCTTTAGGAACATTATCCTTGACATTTTAACATGCAGCACAACAATTTAAAATTAATACAAGATCAGATTTATTTTTTAAATGAGTCAATATAGTAACCACTGTCCTAGTTGAGCAATATTTTATCTTTTTTTAACCTCACAAATTAGACATTATTAGCAGCATCATTACTTTATACAGGTAGCACTTGTTTAGATTTACTCAGATGCTTACCAATTTCCTTGCTCACCATTCCTTCTTGCATCTCAGACCTCCTTTCTGGTACCATTTTCCTTCTTCCTAAAGTAGAATTTCCTTAAGTGAAAGTCTGTTGGAGGCAAACTATTTTGTTTATCTGAAATGTCTGTATTTTACCATCATTCTTGAAAGACAGTTTCTCTGGACATAAAATTCTAACTTGATAGTTTTCTCTATCGCATTAAAGATATGTCTTCCTCTTCTAGCTTCCATTGTGCAAGTGAGAGCTATCATTTTCATTGCTTGTGGTTTCTTTGCGGTTGATCTGCCTTTTTCTTTGGTCCTTTAAGACCTTCTCTCTTGATGTTTTGCAGTTTGATTACAACATGACTGTGCATTTACTTATCTTATGTGGGATAGGCTTCTTATATCTGTAGGTTCATTTCTTAGTTCTTAAAAATTCTCAGTTCTTATCTCTAAGAATTTTGGCTTTCCTCTATTTTCTTTATATTTTTCTTCTGAGACTATCATTTTTCTTATCCTAGCTCCCCATGTCTTTTAACCTCTCTCTCTCTCTCTCTCTCTCTCTCTCTCTTTTAATATATTTTTATTGATTTCAGAGAGGAAGGGAGAGGGATAGAGAGATAGAAACATCAATGATGAGAGAGAATCATTGATTGGCTGCCTCCTGCACACCCCCTACTGGGGATGGAGCCCACAACCTGGGCATGTGCCCTTCACTGCAATCGAACCCAGGACCTTTCAATCCACAGGCCGACGCTCTACTGAGCCAAACCAGCTGGGGCTTAACCTCTCTTTTTATATTTTCCATTTTCTCTGTCTCCATACTACTTTCTGAAGAGTCATTTCATATCTAGCCTGCAATTTATTCTTGCCACTTGTATTTAATATGTTAAACTAACCCTGAGATTTTGGTTTCAACTATTCTTCATTTCTAAAACTCTATATAGTTATTTTTTACATTTGCCTGGTCATTTGTGATCATTTCTTTTTGTTGTACCTTTGATTCTTTTATTTCTTCAATAAATGTCACATATATTTTATTATCTGATCTGAAGTCCTTGAATGACCTATTATTTGTTATTTCTCCTGATTCCTTCTCATGGGTATTTGATTATTTGTATGACTGATGATATTTGATTAAGAGGTCCATATTTATTTTTTTGTGAGTCTGAAAGATTGTGGAGACCTAAGTTGAGGATGTCTTCCTCCAGAGAGGAAGATCTGCATTTGCTTCTGCTAACAGTTGGGCATGGGAGGTTTGAGGGAGTGCCCCACAGCTGGGACCACAGCTACGTTTAGCTTCCCGCTTTTATCTTAACACCAAGATTCATTTCTGACCACCAAACTCCTGAACCTCTGAACTGATTCGGCAATTTTCCCAGGGCAAATTAGTTTATTGCTGACCTCTAGGATTTAAATTTTTTTGGGGGGGTAGTGGAGGGCTCTGAAGATTCCCTTTACTTTCTATTACATGTTTGAAATTAAGTTTACTCAAGACTTCATATCTGACCCCTATACTGACAGAGGTAGGGTTTTCCAATTCCATTATTCCCCTAGCCAGGGTGATCTTTAAGCTCAAATCTAATTATATAACTCCCTTCCCCTCTGCTTAAAAATCTTTCAAATACTCCTCTCAGTCAAGTCCAAACTCCTTGGTATAGTAAAACCTCACTATAATGGACTAATTCAGGCAAGGGGTGTCCCTTAACGTTGAAAGTACATTATTAATAAAGCAGGTTTTCTGAATGCCTATGTTAAAAAATTGACAAATTAGTTTACTTGTTTTCACTTATGTACACACATTTGGTTAATTAAGTATGTATGAAAAATTTAGTTTCACAGAGAAGTTTTCTATATGTATTCCAGTAATTTTAAATTTATACTGAATAGGTCTAGCAAACATGTGCATTTGCCAGACACCGTGGGTAAATAAATGCACGGGGCTGGGAGGAGGCTCAGTGCACGTGGGAACACTGGCCGGCTCCTTAAATCTGCTGCAGAAAGTCACGCCACTAGATCACAGAACCAATTAGCCTTGCAATGTAGTGTGATCACATGCTAGTCATTCAACATACACTGTTTACGAGCAGTGACTCTTGGGTTTAAATATGTAGACTATAGTTGTAGATATGTAATCTTTATTTATGTCAACAAAATTACTACAGTGTTTTTTCCAACATATGGCCTATTCACTGAAGTTTGTTAAAAGTTATAGCGAATTAATAACAAAAAATAACCTGTTAGTGATAAGCAAATCTTGGCTAAAAGCATTTTAAAATTAACAGGGTGGTACTTTTCACAGGACATACAGATCCAAGTTTTCTCCATTAAATCCAAAGTCTGTTAAATCAAGGTCCACAAAATCTAGGGTTTACTGTATAGCACTCCAACCAGGAGGCTATTTCCTATTCTCTTTCTGGCTTCTTTCCCCTAGAACACTATGCTCTAGCTTCCCAAAACTATTTTAAGTACTCTTAATGCATCATTTTTGCCTATTGGCCTTTGCACACACAAAGTTGTTTTTTTAAAAAAATATATTTTTATTGATTTCAGAGAGGAAGGGAGAGGGGAAGAGAAAAAGAAACATCAATGATAGAGAATCATGGATCAACTGCCTCCTGCACGCCCCCTACTAAGGATAGAGCGCGCAACCTGGGCATGTGTCCTTGATCGGAATTGAACCTAGGACCCCTCTGTCCACAGGCTGACACTCTATCCACTGAGCCAAACCAGCTAGGGCATAAAGTTTTTTTTTAAAAAATATTTTTATTGACGAGAGAGAGAGAGAGAGAGAGAGGGAGAGAGAGAGAGAGAGAGAGAGAGAGATAGAAACCTCAATGAAGAGAGAGAGTCATTGATTGGCTGCCACCTGCACGCCCCACAGTGAGGATCGAGCCCGCAACCTGGGTATGTGCAACCTGAGCATGTGCACTGACCAGGAATGGAACCATGACCTCCTGGTTCATAGGTTAACGCCCAACCACTGAGCCACGCTGGCTAGGCCACACACAAAGTTCTGTCTAGAACAGCAGTTCTCAACTTGTGGGTCACGACCCCTTTGGGGGTCGAACGACCCTTTGGGGGTCGAACGACCCTTTCACAGGGGGTGCCTAAGGCCATCGGAAAACACATATATAATTACATATTGTTTTTGTGATTAATCACT